TGTGTGTGTGTGTGTGTGTGTGTGTGTGTGTGTGTGTGTGTGTGTGTGTGTGACTGAGCGAGAGCTGAGTGTGTGTATTCTCTGGTCTCAAAGGACATTGCTGCACTGGCAGCTTGACTGCGGCCACACCCTGAAGCCCTTCAGCACGTACTGAATACAAACGGTCACACAAACAAAGCCTCCATGTTAAAAACACAGCTTTAAAGAATTTCTACAGAATTCTTACACAATGAATCAACAATAATCCGACTAAGAAAGGTCCAAATTGAAAACACAACAAGCTATTATTAGATGGATACGACCCATTAGTCTTCTCATGAGGCCACGGGTCGATGTTTACTCTGTTCAGCTGGGAGGTCAGCTCTGTTTGTGGAGGCTGGAGTTCAGCCCATCTCAAGTTACATGCAGGACCATGATGCCCCAGGCTGCAGCCATTACACAGCAAACATGATCCCGGCCCATTGATTTTACCCTCAGAGAGGAGTAAGAAAAAAGACAAGGTGGTTAAAAAGGCAGGAAGGACGATGGGAGGGAAAAGAGAGAAAGGAGTAAAACTATACAACCCCTCCCCCCTGACGGAGCTCTCTCGCGTTGATCGTGTTTCTCTGCTGTGAGAGACGAGTGTTTAGTCGAAAATATACATTTCCTGTTGCACGAACCCAGTCCCCTCTGGTTTTTACTTAATTTTAACCCAAGAGAAATCATCGACAGAAATGTTTTTTGCTGTCGAGAACACTGATGATACACAGAGTTTCCTCTTCTGGAGCGACTCAATTGGTCAGCGTGCCACAGAGGATCAATCCATTTCAGAAATGTAATCCACTGATTCCATTTCCACTCACCCTGCAGCTTCTTCAGCACGGCCACCTCCATCTTGAGCACCTGTTTGGGCTGCTGGGCCGACTCCACCTTCAGCGCCACACTGACCCGCGTCAGCAGGTCCAGCGCCTCGTAGATCTCGCCGAACCCTCCACCCCCAATCTTCTTCACCTGGAACAAGATGATGAGACGGAAGAACTTCATATTACCCAGACTGCATGTGTACATGGACACACACATGACAGCTCCTCAAAAGTGAAGCCAAAACATTTTTGATCGCCCCCTAGTGGTTGCCTTGCAGTTTAGATCAGAAACTTAGCGACCTCCATGTTAGCAGATTGGACATGGACCAAACTATAGTCTACTACTATTAGTTCTTATCACACCCACGTATCCTCAGCTGTTCATTTCTCTGCCAAGTTTGGTTTTAATTTAATATTTGATGCTTTAAACAAGGTGAAAAAACCTGAAAAACCTGGCGTTGTGTCTTTTTCGGAGTGTTCTGTCTGTCCACCGCTGCAATCAGTCCTTCAAATCTTTCAGTTTATATTCATCACAAGGCTTTTGATCAGAACTGGTTTGGACAGAGCTCGTCCCCAAACAGTGAGAGAACAATAAGCAGGTTTAACAAGTTCCTACAAATGTGAAAATCTAGAAAAACTGTCAGTTTCTGTTGGGGAACAATCTAGTATGGAGCAGTTTTGAATATCTTTCACTTTCTACATAAAGTTTTTTAATTTTGAGATGTACAATAACAAGGTTGGAATTAATTAAACATACTTTTTAAAATTACCGGGAGGAATTTATGTGTACAATGAACACAATGAGCTCTTTTCTATATTTTACTCTTCTAAATTTCCTCCAACACTCCTCGCTCTCACTGCCCACTACTAGAGCTTTAATTTCCCCCCTGAGCTCTTACTTGTCCTTCACTGTCCTCCCTGCACACACTCTATAAAGTCCTGTGTCGCACTCGGAGCTGAAGTCGTGGGATTAGCTGCAGCATTCTTATGTAACTCTGCTCCTTAGAAGACAGGAAGCGGTGCCAGGCTGCCAGTAAGGAATAACAGCCTCACATGGCGCCCAGGCGGGCACAGCAGTGGGAGACATGGGCCCTTAGGGGAACACTGCCACTGCTGCCTATAGCACACTGCACTGCCACGAATAGCAAGGAGAGCTATTTTTGTATCTCCCACACTGCAGCAGCCCTTTACCTGGACGGAGAGACGCGACCGCAAACTGCCCGAGCCACAGGTGAGACACTTTTAGAAGGAAAGAGAGGGACTCGTAGGAAGGGCAGAGCATTGTTTGATGAACAAAGTGTTGTTGTTTGTTGGTCAGAGCGTGAGCGAGGGACGGGCGGCGACGGGACTCAACAAACACACTGGGTCCCTTGTTGTTAAATGAAATGTCACTCACCACTTTCCATCGTTCCTTGACCAGGGAGAGCACGCTTAGGATGTCAGCTTGCTCCGCTCCCCCGCTCATTACGTCTGTGGACCAGAGACGCTGTCCTCACTGCTTCCCCCCCCTCGACCCGCTGCCTCACACTGGGCCGGGCATTAGGACCTTGATGGAGAACCCTGCAGAAATCCAAGAGAGACATAAAACTGTCAGAAACTGATGGATGAGTTCTGGTCATTCTGGATAAGGTGCACAACATGATACCTTAAGATTCCTAAGCCCCTGTTCTTGTCGTGTTGAACAAGGAGGTTTCATTGTGTAGAATATTCACTGTGTTCTTTTAGGCCTGGTAGAAATTCATGTGAAAAAAGTTAGAGACAAAGTTAAACCCTGGGCTTAATGTCTGGAGCTTTCTGATACTTGACCATCGCTGCAGCTGCCACACCTGCTGCCAGCAGCTGTCTTTCTGGACAAATTCATGCCACCAGCTCACAGGCGACCGTCCTGCATCTTCCATTTCAAAAGGCTTCAGCTCAGTGTCATTTTTCCCCAGTCATATAGCTTCATTATAAGACAGCCGTGGAGCGGACCATGTAAATACTTCTCATAAGATATGGGACACTGTTAAATCTGCCTCAGTTTGGATTTGGAATTTCACTATTTAGCTCTGGTTGGGTAAAGCTGTATTAAGTTTTGTAAAAAAAAAAGAAAAAAAATCAGTTGTGAACGAATAATCAGATGTACTCTTATGTTTTTAGTTTGTGAAAAATCCCTTGGCTTTTGTTTTTGTTAATAATAATTATGTATTATTACTTACAGTTAAATCACTCTGTTTAAGGCTGCAACTAAGTGTTTACCTCCATCAGCATTTTTCTGTTTTATAGGCAGCAGCAGAATTACACAAATGAAATGTTGTGGAGGGGTGGAGCGTGACCCAAGAAAGGATAAACAGGATTTTTTTTCACTTTTTAAACATGACATAATAGGAGCTCTCTACGTGCCATTCTAGTTTCCATCATCATAATATTAGCAGATTTTTCTCAAAAAGAAGAGCCAAAAAGACAAGTGTCCCACTGGAGGATAATGTTTTTGCTGAATGGAAACCCAAGACAAACTTATATTTATGGTGTATAATAGATGATTTAAATGTTACGATAAATGTTTTCCTGAATTATTAATTAATCAAGTTGTTACAACATTGAAACCTATGAATCTAATGAAAACCAGTCTATTAGAAAATGGTACTTTTACATCCATTGCCAAGTCTCTTCTACATAAAAACTAGGTTTTCTGTAAAATATGGCTTCACTGGACAGTTCGCTGTAAAATCTGCATCTTTCTCTGGTATTTCACAACATCCGTGTCAAAGATAAGCATTCCTCAGCAGAGCAGCTAACTTCCTTTAGTCTGGCTTCAAACACTCAGCGCACACCCGACTTTGATTCATCATCGCTGCACACGGCGTGCAGCCATCTACCGTTATGCAACGGGCCTTCAAAACACTATTTGGTTACGGGGCATGATCCCAACATCAAGGAGGCAATCAATTCCATCATGCACCGGGATGAGGTTGGGAGATGGAAGAGGGCAAAGCGTGGTTAGACTCGATAACAGCGAAATGACGAGTGTGAAATGTGACCCGGGGTTACAGGACTGAGGAGAGAGGTGGCCTTGGTGCAGCGGCAGCCATTCAACACACAGACAACACCGGACGAGATGTGTCAGGATAATGAAAGACTATTTACTTTGAGTAGACTTTGAACTGTGTTCAATCTGTCTAGTAGTTTACTATCACTGTCCAATCCAAGACATTCCACTCTGGACCAACAATCTTTTTTTGGCAACAATTTGTGTCGAGGTCAGGAACTAAAACCTGAATTTCCTGCCTCACGTGTTTGCAATCTGGGGGCCGGCGAGCTCTTGTAGACAGAGAAAGAGAGACTGAAGTTTGTTTTGAAGGCATCACATGAATCCTTCACATTGTGCTAACTACAGCACGGAGTCAAAGAAGATGAAACATGACGTACACAAAAACACGCTTTAAGCCTCGAGAGATAAACAACTCACTGTGAGCACTGAGATTAAATGACCTCAGCTGTGAGTCACTCCAAGGTCACATGTTGTCAATGTTGTCCTGGTGTTTCCCTTCAAGAAAAACACTGTTTCTGAGACATCGTGCAGGAGGAGGAACGTTTCGTTCAAAATTCAATCAAGGGAGGGATGAATGAGCCATTCTTTGATTTCTGAGGGAAAAGTGGAGGCGACACAAGAGTATATATACACAAGAGTATAAAGATGGATGTTTGGGAAGGTGAGTGATTTCTAATCTAAATTATAATTGAGGGTAAAGACACAGGAAGTGTCCAAGCCATCGTTGTCCCCCATAAACAGCATGAAAAGATGTTGGGCCTCCATCAACCCATGTCACACTGCACACAACCAACTTATTACACCCAGACACACACACACACACGCACTCAAAACACAAGCGTGTGGTCATGTTGCATAAGCACACACACACTTATGTACAAGCAAGGCCGCCTCACACTGTGACTAATCTCACACCTCACACAGAGGCACGGTTCTGCTCCTCTTCCTCCTCCTCGTTCCTCCTCCAAACAAATCACCACCAGAGAAGAAAGGAGACATAAACAACTCTATGGACCGAATAATTATAGTGAAATAAAACAATCTATGACAGCCGGCTGCTGTGTCACCATGAATCACACGCTACCTGACCCCAGCTTCTCCATGGCGACGATGGTGCAGTGCCATTTTTCCTCTGCTGACTGCAGCTTTGTCGTCGCCTCTGCCCTTTCTCAGTCGGCTGGAAGCTGCAAGTTTACAGCAACTTAAACCCAACATAATGAAATACACACTCACTCTGCTCCTCATCCTGAAACTAATTATTCACAAAACAAATCACATAAACTCTGACCCTGGAAGCCAGCAAGTGCATGAACGTGCAATAACACGTGGCTCCAGCGGCGATAGCTAGACTGAGAACGAATCCTGGGTCCACAGCAGAGCCGGGGTCGTTCCTCTCCCCGCTGGAAGCTCAAAGTTTACAGCTACAGAAACTAAAGATTCACACATGAACAACCAGTTCTGCTCCCATGCAGTAGAACTACACACACAATCATGACCTTTAACTCTGCTTTAAATTTAACTGCAATATTCATTCTGTCTGTGTGTCTGTTTTTACACCGTATACATTCATTTTTATTCCATTCACATTGTTCTATATTTTAAGTATTATTATGATTACACTTGAGTATTGCATGCTAACTATCATTACTTACTGAGGCCTATTTATTTGACAAATGTCCCCATTGTGGGACTATTAAAGGATTATCTTATTTAATCTTATTTAATCTAATCTTATCATGAAATGTCAGTGGGTGATGCCACAACAGAGGATACACACCCACTGCTCCTGGTCCTTAAAACTAAACATTCACACCATCAGTGCAACAAACACATGGCTCAAGTGAGAATAACTAGACTGGCGATGGTGGTTCGGCCTGGTTGGACAGCAGGACTGGGAGGACTGGAGCTGCTGGAGCTGCTGGAGAGGAGCCAGCATGGGGAGGCCCTCCACACTTCCATTCAGCATGGATGGATGCAACTGATCAGTGAAGGGTGAGACCTGGAGCAGTGTTTTTAATGGAGCAGACCTCGGCCTTTACTAATACTCTCAATGAAATCCTTCAAAATAAGAAGTGTGCAGAATAAGCGTTTGCAACAAATACCTGGTACCGAGCTGCTCTGAACGGGATGTGACAGGCGGCAGGAATAAGAAAGCATGAAACGCATTCTGTTCCCTGCAGTGGACTGACTGTTGCATAGCGAGTTGCCACAGCAGATTTCCAGGCCACGCAGGCTCGTCCCTGTCAGCTCCGACAACACACGGCACCATAAACCCGACACATGCACGCAGCTGCAGGCGGCACACGCACACGCACGGGAGGGTGGCCTTTTTAAATCCGGGCCGAAGGGGGGCCTCGGCCTGCGGGATTGTGGAGCCTTACCTCGGGTCTGCGGGATCCACTGAGGAGGCGCCGGGTGTGGTTACAGACGAGCCTCTGCGTTCGGAGGCGGCGGGGACGACGCGGAGCCGGAGCCCATAGCGAGGGGAGCGTCCGCCGGGCAGGAGGCGGAGGTGACCACCGGTGATTAGAAGCAAACAAAGCGGCTGGGAGGGAGGAAATATGTCCGGGCGGCGGTGTCTCCTCTGCGGCTTCACCTCAGCATCTCTGTCGCTGCAGCGGATCCGCGACGTGACGGTGATCGGCAGCCTGCCTGCGCGCGCGGTCCCGATTCCATCGCCCCTCGCAACAGCTCGGCCGCGCGCAGCAGCGTCTTTAAAAAGCTCGTTCACGGTTTGCCGGTGCACGCGCGCTGCACACGACGTTGCCAGATACAACAACAAAAAAACTAGTGGAGAATTTTTTTTTTCTTTTTGTTCCGGGTTTGTTGATAAAAAGTTTTTATAGAATCACTTTATTGCACATTGAAATATTATTATTGTTCTTATTATTCCTGTCATTATTGTTATTATTGTTGTTTTTGTAGTTATTATTATGTGTGTGTGTGTGTGTGTTTGTTTCCTCACTCATTTCTTATGTAAGTAGTCACTGTTCATGTGCTTGACAACATATACATATATATATGTGTGTATATGTTGCCTCTCTGTGAGTGTTTTGAATGTATTTTATGTATGTTTCATTTTGATAAATAATAAAAGATAAAAGTCATTAGATTGTACAAGAGTAAAAAAAGCATAGTTCAGCTGCAGATTCAGTGATTTACAAATTTAAGATCCATTTTAACCAATATGTGTTCACTTTGAGCTAAACTAAAACACCGAGTTCACTAGTTGTTATCTGCTGTTATATGCACTGTCCATAAATAATATTGCTACTGAAGAAAACTTTAAAACACAAACGTTTTCAAGCATGTTCTGTTTGTGGACTGTTATTTCAAAGGTTAAGGGATCAATGGAATTGTATGAAAAGGCGGAAAAGCTGACCAACCTGGCAACACAGTCTGCACAGAATCCCCACATCTGTTTTACTTGTTTCTTCTTTTGAGCTGCAACATCTGATCTCTGCAAAATTCAACAACCTGAAAGAAATATAAAGATTTTTAAAACGTTGAGTGAGACAGAAAATTATAACGTCAGATAAAGTTCTCTGTGTTTAAGGACACTTCTATTCAGTTTGGAACGCGGCCACAGCAAAGTCACTTCTCGCACAGTCCACAGTGAGGCAGCAAAGATCGCGATAACTGCGAATGATGAAAAGACCTTTACTCCACCACTGTGGAGTTTAAATTAACAATTTCCTGCAAAGCTTCATCGTTCCCTGCAGCGATAAACTAAATGTAACTGACTTAAAATGTACTGGAGCAAAAGCAGAAAGCACCATCAAATAAAATGCACTAGTACAAGTAGTTCAAGGTCAAGTAGTTGACACTTGGTTGGTCACTTGAGTGAACTATACTTTCCACCAGGGGAGTTCTGCATGAAACACAACAAGCAGTCATGAAACACAACAATTTGACTAAAGCAGAAGTAAGAAAAATACATAAACTACATTAGAAGAGTCATACAGACGATACAACAAAATCAAGTCTTAACACTTTTCTGTCTTTTGTTGAATTACAGTTTAGTTGCTCATTTCTTGAACAACCCTGTAACTGAACTGCAATTTTGATTTATTCTGATGCATTCCAACCTTGCTATCATGTTTTAATAGAGATAATGAATTCATGTGAAGGTTACATTGTCGGTGTTGTTTGTGTTGAACAGCTTTATGGTCATTTTGAAGTGTAATTTGAGCTGTCCTTGTCTTTGCTGAATATCCACGTTTATTCAGCCTCCGGGCGAGAACCAGCAGACTGAGAGACAGCTTCATCCACCAAGCCATCAGGATGCTGAACCCCCCCCCCCCTTCCTTCTCGCTGTAATTCTGTTAATACTGCCATATTGCCATATTTATATTTATATTCCACTGATAATTCTGTTTATATTTATACTGTTCATTCTGTTCATCCTGCCATATATGCCATATTTATACTCTTTATATCATCTAGATTTGCCACTGCCTGTTTATATCTTTTAATTACTTATATTTTTTATATTTTATATTTCATGTTTAATGCTGTTTGCACC